GATAGCCCAGGATACGGCCTTGGTGGAGGAGAGCCCTTTAGGGCTGGGAGGCAGATGCTAGGTTTGAGTTGTGTCCCACCAGGGAGCTGAGGTACCCCTGGCTGCCAGTGATTTATTGTTTTTACTCTGAAATTGTTTGCTTGTTTTTGATAGAAAAACAAATCCCCTGCAAGGTTCTGTGGCTCACCCAGGGTGTCCCCTGTACCCCTTCCCCATCTTCACTACCCTGAGATCATCACTGCCTAACTTCAGCCCCCTGCTTTGAACTCTACACAGAGGAGTCACACAAGATGTAGTTTTCTTTGGCTGAAAATGTGGTTTTATTTCACTCAAAAGTATATTTGTGAAAATTATATTTGAGAGATGCACATGTATTTGAGAGATTTCACATGTAATTGTGGTCCTTGCATTCTCATGAATGATTGGTGTTCTACTGTATGAAGATACACAATGTATTTTTACATTCCACTGTAGATACAGTCCATTTTGCCCTATTACAAGTAATGGTCCTTTGAGCTTTGTGTATGGGCATTTTGGTGAGCCTCAGGCATCAGCTGGGGCATGGGCAAGAACACACCGCTGGGTGTTGGGATCACAGTTCTTTAAGGATCACCCCCATATTTGCTTCCTGGAGCTTAGGACTTCTCTGCGGCTCCCGTGGTCTGATTCATACTCGCCCCTGGTGTACTGGGCTGCCAGGTTCTCGGCTTGATTTCTCCACCATCCTATCCCGGCTGCTTCCTGCCCTCCTGGAATGTGCCCAGTGTCCAGCCTGCTGACTGCCTTTCTCATTTCCCAGCGCCGTTGTCCTTCCTGCACACGCACACACACGTGTGCATCGTTTCAGAGAGACACTGGGTGGGCAGGGCGCAGCGCCTGGCCCAGGCTGCCCTCTGAGCACGTTGCTTCTGTGCTTCCAGCAGCCCTCTGTGCTTCCACGCCGTCCGTGGAAACGTTCAGATGGAATTTTTCAAGCACTCTGTTCTGGGTTGTCCCCTTTGGAGGTTTCTCCCGTCCTCGCTCTGCAGCGTTGCTAGGGAAGGCCATGCATTATTTAGGAGTATTTTCCTGTGCAACACTCCTCTGTGCACATGAAGTAACTCAATATTTCTCTATCCCAGGAAAAAATGAGGGCCCCACCTGGACTGTGGGGACCATCTGTGCTGATGACGCGTGTTGGTGCAGAGTTCGTTTGACGATGCTGCTTGTGTCCCAGCTGTAGCCACAATGCTTTTTGAGGCCCTGCAATTTTTGCAAACCAGGTCTTGGCCCTGCAATAGAACTAAGCAGAGACGCCTGAGTTCCAGATGCTTTTTGCTCTCAATTCATCTCCCAGTCCCAATCTTGCACCCTCCACTGGCCACCACACCATGCCTGTGTGACCCCACTCTCTTGGTCCTGGCAAATTGCAAATTGTTCAGCTGGAAGGTGGGGGGAGGCAGGGGTGAAGAAAGGGAAGGCTGGTAGGTGGAGACCTTAAGAGAGGGCCTGAGCCTAGAGAATTCATAGAGGGGAAGTGATGGTCACCTTGGGGGACATGCAGTGGTCAGAGACAGGGTATGCCGGATGAGCATTCAGGGGCCGGGGGCAGTGGCTGGGTGGACAGGGTCCCTGAAGAAGAGCCAGTCACGATGACAGAGTTATCTTTGTGGAAGATTTGTCATCGGGGGCTGGTAGGGGTGGCTGGAGAGGGTCTGGGAGGCTGGCCTAAAGCCCTACACATGAGGGGTCAGCAGTCAGCAGATGACAGCAGCAGGGAGTGGGGAGAG